GTGGGGTGATGCCGTGGCGAGGAAGGGTCAGGCACGGCCGGGGCTTTCACGGGGGGGACCCGCGATGGAGCCCCGAGCACCGCTCCCGTGAAACCGAGTGTTCCGAGCCCCCTCGGGGCTGCTCCACGGGGGTCCGCGGAGAGACACCCGCGGAGGGCCGCGGGGGGAGAATGAGCCCCGGGAGCTGCCGCTGCCCCTCGGGCGAGGGCAGGCAAAGGGAAGCAGGGCTGGCAGAGCCGCCCCCCCTCGAAACGCGCCGCCATCGAAGGGGTGGGAATCCGGCGGGGCCCGCGCCCCTCTTCTGCGCGAAGGAATCTCTGACGGCGTTTCGGTACAAAATAATCATCAATAACGGGATTCAGCGATCGGGAAATGCAAACCAGCAGGGCCAGCGTTTTGCGGATCGGCCCCGAAAAACAGCGAAGGCACCGGACCGGTCCGGTCCGGGCCTTGCTCACCAGCACCGGGCCGAGCTGCCGCCGCCGGCGGTCACCGGCTTCGGCGGGGCCACACGACGGCAGCGCGGGCGGACGCGGCTTCGCGTTCGATGAACCCGATCCGCAGCTGAACCCTGCCCCCTGAACTCACCCCCCCCGCGAAGTACACTGACTCACCTACAGATCAGCAGTATTTTTCACGCCGGCAGAAATTTAGGGACTGCCCGACGGGGACGCAGCCGGTCAAGGTTTCACCGAGGCGTTCCCGCCGGGGGGGGGGGGGGACGGGCAGGCTCCGAGGGGCAGCACCGCTCCCCCCGCCCCGAGGGGCAGGAAAGGGGACGGCAGCCCGTTTTGGGGACGAGGTCCGGGGGGTGACACCGCCGTCGAGGCGGACGGAGCCCTCCCCCCGGGGGGGGGGCGGCGGGGTTTCGCGTGTTTCGTTTTGCTTTTGCGGGAGAAGCGCTTGTCCGAAGCGCAGGGCAGCTCCCCAAAAGCCCCGTCCTGCTCCAGCTGCCCCCGGGAGGAGCCCGGTGTCCCCCGGGAGAGCGCTCGCCGCTGCTCCCGCAGCAAGACGCTCACACGGTGAGGCCAAAGCCATGTTTTGCCCTCGGATTTCCAAAGCACGCACCGAAACTGCCACTCCACGTCGTGAGCTGCCCACACCTCTGCCCGGGCTGCCGGTTCTGCCCGCAGACAGCCCTCCCTGCCCGTACTCCTCCGAGCAGCGCAGCACCGGCAGTGCTTCCAGCACAGAAACGCCTGAGCACCATCCGCCGGCTTAGGGGCCTTTCAGATTCTCTCAAGAAGAGATAATAAGCACAGACAGAATAAGAAAGAATAGAATAGAATAGAATAGAAAATTATTATATATCTTCTGTAATAAGAAGAAATAATACGCGCATCCCACTGCTACAGCTCCCACGGGGAGAGGGGGGATTTCCCTCAAAGGACAGCAGATTTTCATCCCGTTTGGGAAAAATTTACAGGAGCACGGGGCAAACGGCTAGTGTTTTTCAGAAATCTGAAATACTTTTGGCTTATTCCCCTTGCTCAGAGGGATTTAAGCAGGTGAATAAAGGGGAAGAAGGAAGCACTGAGGCAATGAAGCTGCATATTCACACGTGGTAATAAAAAAAAAAAATCAATTTCCCGAAGGGAACAGTAATTTGCAAAGGTCTTTCCCGCTCTGGCTCCCACTCCATGGGGAACCCGTGCCCACTCGGCGACCGAGCTCTCTCCAAACTTTACTCCTGGATGCAAAGGCATTCAGGGGGAACTGGAAGAGTGGAGATCCAGAATTATATATGCATAACTCCGTGGGTGCGGCAGGAAATCAGAAATCGCATCTACGCACCTGCCGGGCGACAGCACGGACATCGCCCGGCGGGTGCATAGATGCGATTTCTGATTTCCTGCCCTGTATGTTCGGCTCCGTGGGGAACCCCCCACCCAGGACCGGTGCTGGGAAGGAAAAGCACCAGCAGCATTACTGGAAATGAGCCGGCTCAGGTTCCAGATCAATGAAAACTGGGTCCACGCGTTTATGCTCCTGTTGCCAGCATTAATGCTCTTTTAATCTTCTAAACATTATCTGCATCGATTTCTCTCTAGATACGCGTTTGTTTGAGAAGGCGACATCACCGCGTGCTCAGGAAAAAAAAAACCAAATCCCAAACCCCTTTCTGTTCCTCTGATGCTCCTGTTGCAGACAAACCTCGGGACCTTCATTTGGCTGAAAATACAGAAGAACTGGATGCCCGGGGGGTGTTTGTCACCCGTGGCTCCTCGTCCCCCCGCTCTGACGCATCCCACCCCAGCTCGGCAGCTGCCCCGCACGCAGGGACCCTCTGTGCCCACCTCCCTGCCTAGGGGGAGAGCAGCCCACCGCCTCCAAACAGGAGAGGGAGAAGGAGCGGCCGGGAGCCCCGCACTCGCTCGCTGTGGCGGAGGGAATCCCGTGGCAGAAGGAGAGATCTTGGCGCGGTTGGGGTGCGGGTCTGCCGGCAGCCCCCCCCCCGGGCCGGCCCGGTGCCGCAGGGCTCGCCCCTGTCTCTCCAAACGGCATTGTTCCCCCCGTCTTCCGCGGGAGACAAAAGAAGGGCCGAGAGCCCCCCCCATCCCCCGCAAAGCCACGCAGAGCTCTCGCCCCCGTTACTTTGCGGGCTGTGGGATGTGCGGAGCTACCGCGGCACCAGCGCAGCAGGAACGAGACAGTACCACCGTGGAGAGGGGGGAAGAGCCGCCAGGAGGGTCCGGCTTGGGCAGAGACCCCCATCACTCTCCCCTCAGCCACCCCTCCGAGTGGGCTCCGGGGCGAGAGGCAGCCTTCGGGAAAGCCCGCTTCGTACCTGCCCTCTGCTAATCGGTAACGCGCGAGGATTCGTCCGGCCGGGCTGGAAGCAACGGAGATGGAAGAAGGACGGACTCGTCGGAGCAAACGTCCCCGGGTGTCTAAACGGCGCCCGTGGACACTGCGCTGTCCCAGCGGGGAGCCGAGCCGGGCGCAGGCACACACCGCCGCGCCTGCGGTCTGCGCGTCCGTCCACGCGTGTCTGGCCGTGTCACAGCCTGCCCATTTACCCTATGGCCATATCCACCAGACGCGC